CTGATCTTACTAAATTTGAAAGATAAATACAAATAAACAATAAATCAAAATTTAAATAATCCGAAAATAAGGACATCTACATATCTTTGTCCATAAATTACATATACCGTATAACCTGTATTAATTACTCTCCCTCAAATAATTATCTAACTTCCATTAATTACCCTATCCAGCGATGGATTGAAACAATAATTACCTCCCAACAAATGCCCTAAAACACGTTCAAATTTCAAACCTCGTATAATTACCCTCCCTCGATTAATTACTCCCTCCAGCAGAAGGTCGAAAGAATAATTACGCAGGGTGGTTATTAAAGGATATACGGTAATTATGTAAAACTTAAAATCAGAATTTATATTTTAATTAAATCCCAAAATCAGAATTTATAATTAATTAGCTTTCTATGTCCGTAATATTTTTCCTCATCCTTTTTTTATCCGCAATTTCTTTCAAGCAATTTTGAATGACTTTAGAGAAAAGAGTGAAAGTAAAAGCGCTCGCAAAGGCTTTAACTCTCTCTTTCTAAAGTAAAAGTGTTTTCATAATTTTTTTACATATTTTGGCTTAATACATATAGTATTATAAAAGAAAGCATTAAAGAGCATGGCAGAAAAGTAAAATAAGCGCGTAAAAGTTTTTTTTATTTTTACTTCCTTATTTCCTTAGATATTTTTTGACATTTATAAATTAATGTTTGAATATTCTTTTAATTTTTTATATCCTTCTCTATTATTTTAAAATAACTAGGTATTTATCAGAGGTGGGTCAAAACGTTTTTTCCTTCCGATTTCCGAAAAGAAATTTTGATTTCCGATTCCCGATAGTTCCGATTCCCGACAGTTCCGATTCCCGACATTTCCGATTTCCAACAGTTCCGATTTCCGGCTCTTCCGATTTCCGACAAATCCGATTCCCGACAGTTCCGATTCCCGACATTTCCGATTTCCAACAGTTCCGATTTCCGGCTCTTCCGATTTCCGACAAATCCGATTCCCGACAGTTCCGATTCCCGACATTTCCGATTTCCAACAGTTCCGATTTCCGGCTCTTCCGATTTCCGACAAATCCGATTCCCGACAGTTCCGATTCCCGACATTTCCGATTTCCAACAGTTCCGATTTCCGGCTCTTCCGATTTCCGACAAATCCGATTCCCGACAGTTCCGATTCCCGACATTTCCGATTTCCAACAGTTCCGATTTCCGACACCTCTGACTGTTCAGCCCCACCTCTGGTATTTATTACCTTAGCTTTATTTCATAGCAGAGGTCGATTGGAATTCCGTTTCCCGACATCTTCTCATTTCCGATCGACCTTTGTTTAATAAATAGTCATTTTTAACAATTTTGTTTTTTAAAATTTATTAAATTTTAAATCAGATATATGTACTATGTAGTAGATCTTACTTAGGTAAGTTATAAATTCCTCAGTTTCGTATTTCATTATTCAATAATATTTTTAAATCTTTTAACAAATATTAAATTTAATATCTAATTTTTGTGTTAAATTTATTATTTAAAAGTATTAGCGAAATAATTACTTGGGTGATTGCTCTGAGGAGTAATTATTATTATAAGGGGCTAATTAACTTACTTTTCTTCAGCTGTGGGGCGCCCCATGGTCATACTTTTTTTCAGCTTACTTTTTGTCTTTTTTTCTATTTTTTATTCAAGCAATTAAATAAAATTTTGTATTTAACTAATTAATTAAATATTTTAAATAATTTATTAACATTTAGATTTTTAAATTAATTTTCTATTTTTGAATGTTAAATTACTCTCTCATTTAAACTAATCCATTCTTAATTATATCTTTTATTTTCTCCCTCCAAAAATGGTTTCTTAAAATAAAAGTTTTCCTTTAAAATAATTAATTCTTGAAAGTTAATTAAATTTTATTCAAAATTGCTTCTTAAAAATCTTCTTTACTTTTAAAAATCGTCATCTCTTCCTTCCACAAAGATTTATTTTAATATTTCTATAAAAAATGTTTGTGTTAATTAAATTCAAAAAACGTCATTTATTTTAGTGCTTTCCCATTAAAGACTTTTTCTCTCTTGAAACAATATTACTTTAATTATTATGCCCTAAAACTTGAATATTTTCATGAAATTATTAATTCCTTTTTTACCGTTAAATTTATAATTTTTGTAATAAATTTAAAAATGGGTGCTTTATTAATATCCCGCCCCTACACCTATTTGAGTCGCAGTTAATTTTCCGTTTTATTTTTCCTGCCGGTGCATACTTGGGCCCTGTTTTTGGTCACTGTCTATTTTCTCCTTCTTAATACTTGCCTTTAACCTGTAATGTTTGATGGAAAAAATGATTGACAGTAAAAAAGAAAATTAATCTGAGACTCAATTACGGGGGGGGTGGGGGGGTATTAATAAAGTACCAAAGAAGCTTATTAAAATTGAATTAAAAATTTTAAAAAATAAGAGAAGCTTCCTATCTATAAAAATAAGATTTTCCTATTTTTGACTCTCTTTTTTCTATTTATTATTTTATGTATAGTTTTTAATTTTAATTAAAATTTTTTTTCTTTAATTCTACATATTTTTGTTTCTGTTAATTATTTATTTTTTAATTATTTTTTAAAATTTTATTTAATTAATTATTTGTACTTTTGTTATTTTTTTTTAAATTTTTACCGGAAATTACTCTATAAATAGATTAATATTTAAATATTTGACATAATACGTTAAAGATTAATTGGGAGAGAAAAAAACTTTAGAGAACCTTAAATTAAATATATTAGCTAGAAATTAAATAAATAAACATCACGAAATGCGCGAATTAATTAAATATTTAAGTGACGAAAATAGAAAATATAAAATTGAGGGATTTTAAACGGAAATGAAAACGGAAGAATAAAAAAACTTTTAATCTTTTTTTGAATATCATAGCAAGAATACTAAATTTATATAGTAAATTGCTCTCCTGTTTTTTAAATTAAGCATAAAGAAAATTATTTTTTTATTATTCTTTTGTGAATAAAAAATAATTATTTAATATTACTAAAAAATATTTTTTATAATACTAAAAATTATTTTTTATATATTTTCTTTCCTATTTTTTTTTAATTTAAGCATTAGAAGTCAGAATTTTTTCCATTCTTCATCAAATTGGTAGGGAAGATCCCAGGATTTTTTTCAGATTTTTCCTATATTGGTTTTCCATAAAAATTAAACTTCGTTTTTAAGTAGGACAAATAGAGAGTTTTCCTGGACAAATAGAGAGTTTTTTCGGGACAAGTCTATAACCATTTTATAGGTAATTAATAGGGCTACAAAAATAAACAAAAATAAAGAAGGCCAGAGAAAAATTTTTTTAGTAAAATTTTAAAAACCATGAAAAAATTTTTCCCTAGGTAAATTTCCGCCACCATAGTATACTATAGTAAATTGCTCTCCTATTTTTTTAAATTAAGCATAAAAATAAAGAAAATTTATTTTTTTATTATACTTTTGTGAATAAAAAAAATGGTATATTTATTTATTCAATATTACTAAAAAATATTTTTTAAAAATATTTTTTCTGTTTTTCTGTTCATTTGCTGCATTTATTGTGTTGCTTTTTGATTAAAATAACATTTCATTGAAAAAGCCCGTAAATAGAGGAAAGGGCAATAAAAGTGCATTCAACTATATCACACGTAGTATTTTTTGAAAATATGTAAATTGTTGATACACTTTTTTATTCCTATATTTTTCTATGTAAAAATATTAAAATAAAATTTTGTCGTTAAAAATATATTTTTAAAAATAATTTGTAATGGTCCCTAAAATTATAATATAATAATACTTAATAATTCGCTAAAATTTAGGAAATCGTGATTTCACTTTCCTGAGTACGAAAATCTTTTAAACATAACAGCTCCGGCCTTATAATTTTTTAAAATTTTATCGAAATTAACCTGCAAAACTACTCTTCCTTACATATGCCCTCACAGAGCAAGGTTTCACCTGACCCAAGTGAAAAAGAACCGATCAAATTTGAGTTTAAAAAACGCCGGAACTTTCCGGAACCGGAACCGGAAGTTCCGGTGAAACCCTAATACACACTACTTTGTTTCATAATTAATTTTCAAATATAATTCCCGGCTATTTTTTTAGATTTTTTAAAATTCTTAATAAATTTTTGAAAATCTTAAAATTATTTTAATTATCATAAAGAATATATTTAACTAATGGATGTCATTCCAAGCCCCCATCAACAACAATTATTAACTGAAGGTTAAAAATAAAATAAAAAAAATATTTTTTAATAACAAAAAATATTTTTTCAGTATCCGCTGGCCCACCAGAAAAAATAACTAGTGATTATATTGAATTAATTTCTTTGATTATTCTCTTTATTATCGGTGCACCTTTGAATTTGGCTGCATGGACACAGGTGTGTTTATTTAATAAACTAGACTGGCTAAATGAATTTTGTTTTTGTTTATAAAATAAATCAGCTGTATAAACTAAAAAAAATTTTCATTTAAAATAGATTATACTAATAATAAAAATAATAATAAAAATAATAATATTTACCGTAAATGTTCGAATAATTACCCCCTCTCAATTAATTATCCTTTTTAATAATTACCCCCTCATTTTCCCTCTATAATTTAAAAACATTGAAAAAATCATTTTCTATTTTAATTATTAAAATATAAGAATCAATATCAAAAAATAAATCGATTTCCTCCTCAATCTATTGAGATATATCCCAAATTTAGCACATCCTCTCGATTAATTACCCCCTCCAGCGATAGGTCGAAACAATAATTACTTAGGGTAATTATTCGAGCATTTACGGTGATATCATTATTTAATTGGAAATTTTTGTCATATTTTATCTTAACTTTGTTTTCTTTAATAAAATTCTGTTAGAAATTAATCTATCATGATGGGTTCGAGAAAATTTAAGAATTCTAAAATAAAAATAAAATACAGATAATCTAATAAATATTCTATAGATCTCAGAAAAGCCAGTTTCATCAAGATTGGACATGCTTAAAAAACATTTAAATTATTCTGATCTTTTAGTTCTTTTTATTTACGTTCCTTCTAGAGCTTGTTGGTTTGTAAATAAATCTTAATTATGTTTTTCTAATAATTATTTTAAGGTTAGTAACATATGATTGGCGTGGTGGTGACCTTTTATGTAGATTAATAAAATTTGCCCATACATTTGCTTTTCAGGTATAAAATATTTGGAAGGTTTTAGAATTAATAATTAAAAATATTTTCATCAAAAAAGGTGTATTAGGGTGGGTTGTTCCTCGACGGGGGAGGAGAGGCCCACGGGGAACAATTTTCGGTGAGGCAGCGCCACGGGGGGAGGGGAATTTTCAGAAAATCTCTCAAATTCCCTGACTTTCGTGGATGGGGAACAACCCTAGTGTTTATCCATTAGTATTTTTAATTAAAATCTTAGCTTTATTCTACATATACATATATTAGGATAGATAAATCCAAACTTTTCTGAAATATTTAATTAAATATAAAATATGTATTTAATTAAATATTAGAATTAATTAAAAACCCTTATCTTCGAGCAACCCATATTTTAAGGTCAAAGCGGAGGATTCAGATCATAAACAAGATACATATAGTCCAAAAATTATTTTTAGATATGGGTCGGGAAATAGGCCTTAACTTTATTATACTCGGTAGTAATGATAACAAATTTGCCTCAAAGATAGATAACATCCTTGCTAACAAAATAAAAAAGAAATTAGGTAAATCGGTAAGGTAATAAAAAAGTTGTGGATTTTTAACTCAAGGGGGGTAAAAAATAAATAAAAATATTTTCTACATAGATCTCATCTAATGTAATTGTTTGTATTGCCCTTGATCGTTTACTTTCTGTCCTTAGTGTTTCACATCGAAATCCGGGACAGGTTTTTTCTTGATTTTTATTCCAAATTTATTAATCTGATTAGGCAACTTGCCGAATGAGAATAATGCTTTTAATTGCTTGGATTGCTGCTGCTGTTATTTCAGCCCCTCAATTTGTTGTTTGGAAATTATATCAGGCATTTGACAATCCGCCATGGAGTCAATGGTTTTTTAAAAATTTTATTTGAAAAAATTATTTTTTTAAAATAATTTTAAAGTATGCAAATATGGGAAATTGAACGGTCACAATTACAACGAAATAATAATTTCCACCTCGCTTCTAATGATACGACAATAAAATTGCTTGACAGCAAAGTTAGATTAAATAATTAATTTTAAAAATTAAGCTAATATTTATACCCAATTATTTTTTAAAAATTATTTATTAGAGTGTAAGGAGAAGGGAGATTTAGCATCCAAAACGCTTACTAGGGTAGGGAGAGGGGGGGGGGGGAATTTGGTCCTCTACCGAGACGTTAGCTCGCTCGGTAGAGAACCTTTAAATACGTGGTGAGCGGGAGTGCCTAGCAATAACTGCCAGGATGTTCAAGGATTGATGTTGCGTGCGGTTAAATTTTTACTTAACTCTTTAGTATATGTTAATAATTATTAAAGAGAAACTTCGAACTTATCAAGAAGTTAAACGACCCTCAAGTTAAATAATAGGGGTAGTTTTTTATGCTAGTATTCTCCCTATTTTTTGAAGATCCGGGATGCCTTTTATTCAAACTAAATTTTTTTATTTAAATTAGTTACTCGATGAGGAAAGTATTTACATGATTTTACATATGTTACTTATTTTTTGGATTCCAGCTTGTATTATTATGGTGAATATACCTACCGTATTTCCTCGATTAATTTCCCTGGGGAATTATTTTTTTAACCCATCCTTGACATGGGGGATTAATCGAGGGAGGGGAATTATTCGAGTTTTGGCATTTGAACGTGCAGTATGGTATTTGGGGTGGGGAATTATTGTTTCAACCCAACATTAGCATGGGGAATTAATTAAGAGGAGGAATTATTCGAGGGAGGGGAATTAATCGAGAAAATACGGTATTTAGTTTCCTAATTTTAAATTCAAAATTTAAAAGTTGTGTTATTTACTTTTATCTTGTTGGGTATATATTAATTCTAAACCAAATTTTTTTGATTTGGTTAATTCTGCTGAAAAGGATGGAATTGGTGAACAACAAATACAAATGGTTAATTTATTAAATAATCAACAACAGCAAAATCAAAAGCATCAAACAGCGCAAAATGTTTAAATTTTTTTAAAATTTTAAAATATTTTTAGCAATTAAATTTAGAGTTATTTTTATTAGATTTAATATTTTTCGGGGCAGAATGTGAATTGTTTAATTAATATTATGGTTTAGTACTGAGTGACCCAAAAGTAATGGGACACATTATTTATGCCATAACTTTATTCAAATTTAAGATAATGAGATGAAATAAATGATATTAAATTATAGAGAATTAAATAAGGAACCTTGGGGGTCGCCCTATAGAACTCAGAAATATAAAAATAATTATTAAAATAATTAATAATTGTATACTTATCATGGTTGTAAGCCTAATAATAAGATATTATTTAAATAAAAGCGAGTTTAAGCAAACTCTGACCGATAAAACACCGTCTTACCAAGACTCCGTCCAAGGAAAAAATATATGCCTTAGTTGAATTTTACTACTAGTTTAATGAGTTTAGTAAGGATTAAGAGGTATATCCGAGGATTTGAAGGGATTAAGGTGAATATCTAGGGATTTTTTAAGGGGAATAACTAGGATTCGAAGGATAATGAGGCATATCTTATTTTTTATTTTTGGATTGGAAAGCAGTAAATGCTAAAATAAAATAATTATAAAATTAATTAATCGTTCTAGGCATCAAATGGCGGTGGTGGTGGAATGTTAGTTGCTTTACGTTCTAGCCGTGTTTCCTATCAACTTGCTCCAATAAATAATAGTACAACTACGCAAGGCCATGAAACTCAAAATACAACATTATTTACTAATAATATTTCAAATATTGAATGTTTGTTAAATAATTATTTTTATTGATAAGAGTAACCCCTTAAAAATGAATATTAAAAAATCATTTTAAAAATTAAATTAATTTAACTAATTTTCGATTGTACTTAGAGAAATTGTCTAAAAATGTATAGAGGTTTGGGACGATATCTGACCTAACCCTCAAAAATTTTTCAGGCTCTTCCAACTTAATTCTTTTAATTTAAGTTTGTCGGTTCCAGGGAATTTTAAATATGTAAAACAGACTTTATGGATATACCACCCCCCTATTTTGAGTATTAAAGTTTTTTCAATGTACTTTCTTCCTTCCCCGATTTCATTCTATTTTCCTTTGGCAAATTCAATGAAAGACATTAACAAAGAAAAGATTAATGTTTCAATCCTTTAAAAACCAGACCTGGTCACGGATACTGATCTTGGTATCCGTATCTGCATATTTACGGCGAATACAGGCGGATATCCGCAGGCATTTTGAACTTAACTGTATCCATATCCGTATCCATGAGCAGGTCTGGGAAAAACTCTGATACTCGAAATTGGGGGGGGGGAGGGGGTGGTATATCCATAAAGTACCCTCAGTTATCCTCATTCCGAACCGACAACCCCTCCCCAAATATTCATAATTTAAAATAGGTAATTAAAATATAAATTTATTTATATTATTCAAATTTTCTTTTAAAATAATCTTATTTTTTTTTAATTTAAGCACCAAAAACCAAAAAACCAATGATTGTATTAAACGATGAAATGCTTCTATCTTTGTCCCCAAGTCAATCACCCCAACCGGGAATTGATTCCTCAGAAGTAAAACAAAATAAACATTTAAATGGAATAGCAGAAATGGTAAAACAAAGAGAAAATGAACAAAGAAATAGTTCCACAACTTCAAATGAAGCAGCTGCTGCTTTACTTTTAGCCTCAAAAAGGCAAAGGCAGTCATCATCTTATAGTGCAAAATCACAAAGGTTTTGAAAAATATTGAAATTATTCTAAGAAAGTAAAAGTAAAAATGTAGCTTTGAAAAGAGGAAAGGGGATATTTCCAAAAAATAATGTGAATTTTAGTTTGGAAAAAATTTTTGATACTTTTCCGTTATACGACTGCAAACTGAGTTTTTAATAGTGTTCGGCAAATGACCTTTTCCGGTATTCGGTATCGGTATACCGAAAAAATACCGATACCGAAAAATACCGTTTTTTACAAAAATTGGGTATTGTGACTTATACTAGGTTTTTTGTTTTTGGACCGATTAGGTCAAGTGAGGTGTCATTCGAAAGAGCTTCGAAAACTGAATCGAACTAGGGGTGGGAGAAGTTGGTACGACGATCAGGGGCCGAGTTACAGACCCCTGAAGTTTGAAAAAGAGAAGGGGGGAGTAAGCTCATTTTGGGGTGAAAAATTCGAAAATGCACATAATAGCTCATTCGACTCAGCTCGTCGAGCTGAGTCGAATGACACCAAAATCACCGAAATCCGACTTGATTGGAAAAAGTTATGATCGTTTGTTTTAGCTCCTTACCTATGGTCTATGAGGAGGTTTTTGCTGCTACGGAGGCCCCAAGTACGTCCAGAACAAGGGAGATAGGAATAGGTTTATGTTACTGACCCAGACCCAGCGACCGTTGACTCCCCGCGAGGCGCGTGCCGCGAAACCCCGCGCGAAGCGCGGGGTTTTGCACAAGCGCCTCGCCGACGCTCCATAGGTTTACGTTGACCATTTTGAACCTCTTTATTTTGGCTCAGAATCAAGGTATCGAGCTGATTTTGGTGTCATTCGACTCAGCTCGATGAGCTGAGTCGAATGAGCTATTATTTGCATTTTTGAATTTTTCATCCCAAAATGAGTACTCCCCCCTTCTCTTTTTCAAACTTCAGGGGTCTGTATCTCGGTCCCTGATTGTCGGATCGACTTCTCCCACCCCTAGTTCGATTCAGTTTTCGAAGCTCTTTCGAATGACACCTCACTTGAACTAATCGGTCCAAAAACAAAAAACCTAGTATAAGTCACAACATTCCAAAAATTGACCGGTACGGTATCGGTATACCGGAAAAATACCGATACCGGAAAATACCGTCCCAACATTTTCGGTATACCGGCCGGTATTCGGTATTTTTAAAAAAATTTTATAAAATTTTTTAAATTTTATTTTTAAAATTTCAACAATAAATCTTAACAATCTCAAGGACTTGAGCTTCTTCTAATCGATCATAGGCAAGATTTGAATCAGCAAAATGTCCAACAATTGCTCGACATTTAGCTAATTGAAAAATACAATGCCCCCTCCATTAGAATACCCTGCTTTAATAGTATGTCCCCTGGAGGATGATTGAAAATTACTATGCCCCCACCATTAGAATACCCTCCTTTAATAGAATGCCCCAGAAGGATAATTGAAAAATACAATGCGCCCTCTAATAGAATGTCCCTATATATCCTTTTTCAGCGCCGCAGGCGAAAATTTTGAGAATTTTGGAAGACCAGAAGACAGATTTCTGCCTTTTTCAGCGCCGCAGGCGAAAATTTTGAGAATTTCACAAATACCGAAATACCGAAAAATACCGCGGTATTTTTTTGAGGACCGGTACGGTTTCGGTATCGGTTTCGGTATCGGTATTTGGAGGAAAATAAAAGATAGGGCGATGACTTGAAGATTTTACTTTTTCCTAAATTACACAATACTAACAAATTATAAAAATATTTTTTTCTAAAGGAATAGAGCAATACGTGTTAGTTTTCTTCTTGTAATGGGTTATTTTATTTGTTGGTTACCATACAATTGTTTATCCCTTTTACAATTTATATACCCAGAATTATATTCAAAACATGCTAGTAAAGTATATAATCTAAATGGAATTATTGTGTTAGTTTTTTTAAAATTATTTTTTATTAAAATATTAATAAAAATAAGAATGTGTTTATATATTTAATTAAAAATAATATCAACAATTTCCTATTAAAATTTTATTTTTTGGTTCACATAAATAGGGTTGTCGGTTCCTGAAAATTTTTCGGATATCCGAACCCGGACCGAAGAACCGAACCTAAAAATCCTCAGTTCTTCGGTTCAGTTCGGTCCAGAACGAACAACCCGAACAACCCTACTCATGAGATCTACCACAGTTTTTATAAAATATTTTAACACTAAACTTTTTTAATTTGATAAAAACATTGTGTCTTAGTTGTTTAGGCGAACCTTTTGTCAATTAATTTTAAATCTAAATTCTATCTAAATTTTATCTAAATTCTATCTTAATTCTGTCTAAATATTACCTTACAGCCAATTTAAATTTTAATAAAA